ACTTTAAATTAAAACCATTAAACAATTTTACTGACAAAAAAGATGTAAAATTAAATTTTATATTTTTAATTTTAATTTTACAGTTTTAATTTTAATTAATTATTTTCATTTTTTGCTTTTTTTTTTTTTTTTTTGCTTTTTTTTTTTTTTATTTTTAAAAACTGAATAATTTGAAAACACGTCCAGCATAGTTTACAAATTTAGCCACAGGTACAATAGAGTACATATATATAAACTAAGGGTTTTGGCTTGAGCTTATCAGGTACTCAAAATAATGGCCAGTCAATCATAGGTCATTAAAATCAGAAACTCATTTAGGTAATTATTTCCTAATGCTCTCTTTTTATATACTAAATTATTGGTTAGATTTAAATAAAAATGTAAGTTAACAATTTCTAAACAATTTAAATAATAAGAAATAAAAATTGAATAAAAATGAGTTTAGAATTAAGTGAGAAAACATTCTTGAGATCACAAAAAATTAAACAGAACAAAATTTTTTTTTGTAATAAGAATAATTTAAATTTTATATATAGGGTCGTTTCCACACCTACCATGAGTTTAAAAAAAGCTATTATAATATGTTAGATTACTCAAAAAGTAAAAATGCATGATAAATGAATTTTTGCAGCCATCAATGTAATTCTATAAGGGTTAGTTGAAAATTATTCTCACTCCGAAATTTAAATCAATAATGTACTTGTTTTGATCAAAAGTGTTTCAAACTTATTGTATATATTGTTGACACTTATCGTATATCTTAAAATCTGCTTTAGTGTCTGGTTTATAATGCGTTCTTGGTTTCCAATGAAAATTTAATGCATTAGTAACATTTTATTAAACATTTTTAGGTATATAAATTTTAAAAAAGAGACTATTAAATAAACATTAATTATATAGTAATGAAAACATTATTATGAACTAAAACTAAAGATTTTAATGCTTTTCCATTACTTTAGTACATATCTTTTAAGTTCTTAAACTGAATAGAGTTTCATCATAATTATCTGAGTCTTACTTTTTAATTATTGTCAACTATGGAACTCGTTTTCTGACTTGTTTTAAAAATGTTTTCGCTTTCTTTTTTAGTTTTTTCATTTAATAACTTTTTCTCCATAGCCAATTGTTTCTTTCTTAATCTTTCTTCCTCTATTTTTGACTTTTTATCTGCAGCTAATTGTTTCTTTCTTAATTTTTCATCCTTTATTTGTGACTTCTCTTGCAGTTTTGTCTTTTGAATTTGATGCCACGTTTCAAATGTTCAGATGAACTGATGGCAAATGTTCTATTTTGCGCTTGGACATTTGGACTGGTTGTTTTGGCCATATTAAAACACTTTCGATTGGATTTTTGATACCCTGTTGTATTTCACCAGGTAAAATTATAGTTTTATGTTTCAGATAAAACTCTTTTCTAAAAATGATACAGCTGGAGGTATTCAAGATCACCTTTTCAACCTAAATGTTTGTCAGACATTTTAAACAGCTCTAAAATACTTGGGTCAATGCACTTTTCAATAAAGTTTATGGGAAAGGAAGCTAATAAAGTCACACTTGAATGGTTCTCTTCTAAATAAGGAGTCTGAGCAACAGTTGACTCAGATAATCTTTGAAAAATTTTTGTGTAGTCAACACTATTAGCTTCAAATGGAAATATGACAAATAATATTGAAAGTGGTTTTAATATATTAAAACCAATTTTAATATTATTTGTCATAGAAGGATTGATTATAAATGAATTTAATGCTTCTGGTGTATTTTCATTGTTTATTTCATATCCTTCATTGTCAATGCGCCATTGTCAGCAAAAAGATTTCCACTTTGCTTTCATTAGCCCTAAAACTGCCACATCGAGCGGCTGCAAAATATGTTTTTCATTTTGGAACAAAGCAATAAGAATTATACCATTTTTAGAGCAAAATATCACTATTTTCACTTTTTCCAATACCCCATCCTGATGGAGCAACATTTATAACTCTATTTGAAAGATGAACTTATTTAGTAATTGTTAATGATAGAGTAAAAATCTTTCTGGCATTTACTGCAAATAAATTGGGGATGCTTTTTTTATTACTTCAAGCACTTTTTCATATGTATTTTTTCCTCGTTCACCAATTAATAAACTAGTTTTTGGTGACAACTGAAAACCACTCTTATCCAAATTAAAAACATGCATCAAATCATTTAAATATTGAGCATTTTCTCTAAAAGCTCCGGAATTTCAGTAAACCAATCTCTTATGGCTTTTTCAGTTACTCCTCCTCTAGCTCGGTTTAAGTATTTTATTTCATTATTTATGTATTTTTTAAATAATTTTTTGTGAGGGCAAAGAAATGCATAAAACCAATCTTTTGCAGGACGGTTGTCAGTATATTGTGTTTTTATATTGTTGCAATTCAAATATTTTTGCACAGTATCTAATAGCTGTACTACAGACTTGGCAAATCCCATTCTGGTGCATGTTATTAACCACTCGATTAACTTGTTTTCAATGTGTTTATCTAGTACCGATTCATACCTGCAGTGTTATATCTTCAAAGAAGTTCTTCCAGATATTTTATCATAAAGCATCTGATAAAGAATTCCAAACGCCTTGCTTACTTTGTTCACAACCATACCTTTTTTAACAGCATTAATAGCATAACGAAATTGACTATCTGTATATTGAAGTTTCGAACTTTTGTCTTACATTTTTGTCTAGCCATTGTAAAAGAATCTAAGTAAATTAATATTTATTTTTACAGTAAAAAAGAAACAAATTGATTATTTATTGGACATACGATAAGTATGGAATGACTTTTTTTTTAGTTCATACTTATCGTACATTCAAAAATACTACATTGATGCTATATTGATGAGTGATTTTAATAATATTAATAAGGATTCATGTAACTATGTATCGGGGTTTCTATGTATTGTAAAAGAAGTGCATGACAATGTTGTTGATACACAAAACTTTTAAATAATAAAAAAATAAAAACTACTTTTTGCAAAACTTATATTAGTATTTAAAACCTACAATAAGTGTCGACTCACGGTAGGTTTGGAAATGACCCTATTTATATTTTAACTTATGATGATCTAATGAAAATGGCCAGAATTGATTTTGAAAGATCAACACCATTATATTTTTTAAATAGCCAATGATTGACTGGCCATTTTTCACACTAATGGACTGCCTGCTAAAACCAAAACCCTTAGCTGATGAATGCATACTCCATTGTGCCTGCGACTAAATAAGTACCCTCTGTTGGGCATATTGAAAACAATTTATAACACAAAAATAAAAAAAGCAAAAAATACTCCATTTTATCGTTTTTTAGATACTGTCTGCTCAAACCCTGATTCAATGCATGTACTGAAGATAGATGTTTCAATCAAAATTACAAATATAAATAGTAAAATCATAATTGCAAAAATTTCCTAATTATCAAGTATCAAAATATCAGTGTTAAACATTTATTTATAAAAAATATTTGATGGAAATAAATCAAAAAAGATTTTATATAAACTAATGTTTTCTAATTTAATTTAGTATGTATACATATATATCAGGCCTTGTTTTAAATGAAAAATGCTTAAAACAATAACCTAATGTGAATAAGACATCATAAAATTCTCTTCACTTTTTTAAATAATATATATATAATAACATAAACTTTTTTAAATTACTTCAATAATATTAATTACTGCAAAATAAGTTAAATGTTATTTAACTTCTTTTTTATTATTACTATAAGGACATTTTTTTTTTTCTTTTTTTTTTTTTTATATATATATTAAATAATTTAATACCACAGTTTTAAAAATGGTCAACATTTAAAAATTTCTTTCTTTTCTTAACATTTGCATAAAAGAATTAAAATACATTAAATTTTTGAATCTTTATATGATTATTTCTTAAATTTCTAATTGGCTTTACAAATGATTTTTATTTAGAAAAAATCAGAGTATTTAATTAAAAAATTACGTTAATTTATTTACTTTATTTATTAAAAGTTTATTATTTTATTAACGATTTTGTTGTGAAGGTTAAATATATTTTTTAAATCAAACTTAAATGATATATTTTTTAAATCTAAATTAAATTATTTTATTTATCAGAATAAAATTACATATTTTTATTAAATGAGTTTTAAATTAAATCATATATTTTTTATCAGAATTAAATTATTATGATCTTTGCTTCAACCTTCAGTAATAGCGTTTTCCAAGCAACAAAATCAACCATTATAATAAAATAAAAAAAAAATTAAAAAAAAAATTAATTTTATTTGAGTTTTTTTCATTAGTAAATAACGCTTATATCTAACATATTTGTCATTCAAACTTTTGTAACAAATATTTCATATTATATAAAATAGCCATTTAAAAGTTAATGTGTTTTTTTTTTTAATCAATCATTTCTATTATCTTATTGCTTATAGAATAATTTAAAAAATAAAAAATGATAAAAAGTCACTTAATAAAAATCCCTTATTGCTTACATAAAATTGCTTAAGGCAAACATAAATCGCTCAACATGTAACGCTTCAAAACAAAGCCTGATATATATATATATATATATATATATATATATATATATATATATATATATATATATAAATATATATATATACATATATATATATATATATATATATATATATATATATATATATATATATATATATATATATATATATATATATATATATATATATATATATATATATATATATATATGTATGCATATATATATATATATATATATATATATATATATATATATATATATATATATATATATATATATATATATAGTACAATCTTTCTGATTTGAAACTCCTTAATCTGAAAACCTTGATAACTTGTTTTTTTTATAATATAATAGACTCTTTATTTCAATCTTAATTTTAACAAAAAGATTAGTAAAATTAGAAATTAAAACTAATTGTAAAACAAAAATTTAAAAATATAATAAATTAAAAATAAAAAAACATTAAAATTGTGTATACTCACATTATGTGAGTCATAAATATGTAACAGCTGTTGTTCATGTTGTCCAGATATGATATAGTCATTTCCAACAAAACCAACACTATTTCTAGCGCATGTTCCATTTTTATAGCTTTTTAAAATGACGCCTGTAGTAAGGTTCCAAAAAGATAAACAACTTTGCTCACCTGTTGCATCTGTAATTAATGCAGCCTCCATTAAATTTTTTTTTTTTTACTGTAAAAAAGTTCATCATTAAAAAAACTAAAACTATAAAACTGAAAATTAAAATAAATATAATTAAAAATTAAATTCAGAAATTTTACTTTAAACAAATATTGAAAACATTAAAAATATTTAAATATTAAAAAAAAAAAAAAACCTTCCAAAACAACAGAAGCTTTTAAATTAAAAAAAAAAAAAACAACTCAGTAAAAAAAAAAAGCTTATGTTATTTCACAAGAAACATCAATCATTAATTCAAACAAAGCTTAAATAATCTCAATATTACAAAATCTATATTTCCTAGTGTCAATGTTTCTGAAAAGAAGGGTAAATTTATCTTCTTCTGAATAAAGTTTTAACGATGTTAAAAATAATAACCCCAAAATAGTGACTAAACCTAAGCCGGCTCCTTTACCACGACTGAGAGAGTAATCTCCTGTTAAAATATATCCTAATACCCATCTTGTTGTTGCTCCAATGTCTCTGGCATTATATCTATCAATTCCATATTGTTTACAAACATGTGGAAAGAATTTATGCAATCCTTTGTGAAGAGGTTCTTCAGGTCCAGTCTCTATTTCATGTAAATTTTTGGTATCATCACGAAACTTAGTTAAATCATCACCAGTAGGAATACACAACATAGAATTATCTTCTGGACAACCATTGTGGCATGAATAAACACGAATATATACTAGGCTGTTAGCATGATATAACAATTTATCAATTAAATTCTTTTCTGAAAGCTTTCCTAGCTTTATCTGGTTTAATAATAACTGATCTCTAAGAACATAAAATTCTGATTTTGGTATTATAAAATTTTGAAATAAATCTGGCAATAGAGAAGGGATGTTGAACCTCCACTGTGAAGTTATTTCATTCCATGGTAATCCAAATGGATTTGCAACACCATTTAAATCATAATTTTGTTTAACTTGCGGAGGAAACCTAAATTAAAAACAAATAACTTTCTATCGCAGTATTTATATAATTAAGTGATTGTTAAAATTTGCCCGAGTTAAAGTTGTAGTGTAAACTTACATTAATTACATTAGAAAACTAATAACATATGGAGTGATTCCATAGTTGATCTTTGCCAGGCTATATATTAACCATGTTTATAGAAAATAGGGGGAAAAGGGGAATTAATTTACTAAAAACAAATCATATTACTAAAATAAAAAAAAATATAAACAACTTAAAATTGTTTTCAAATAACTTTTAAACTAAAACCCTTAAATCTCAAGTGTTTAAAGCACATACCTTTTATATAAATCTTCATTTTCTTTTTTTCGTCTTTCGGCATCCTTTTTACCTGCATTAGTATCAGGAAAATTATTTGGAAAATATGGTACAAGGGCTTCATATGAAAGCTTTTGATCTTCATTTAATGCACCAACACGTGCACCTTGATAAACAAGTGCTATCCAAAAAGGCATAGCCCAA